TCGCCAGAGGCGGGCGGGGCCCCCCGCCTGCCGTACTCTGGGGCTGGGAGCTCGACCACTGACCCTGAGCCCCATGCCACCACCCTACCCTCACTATATCCTCTGTCTCTCTGGTCAGTAGCCCCTTCTCGTAATTTTTTTTTTATATTATCATCTCACTTTATTTATCTTAATTATTATTATTATTAATTTGACCAGAGGGAAAAAGAGAGAGAGAGAAAGCTGCCAGGTCTGGACTTGAACCACGGTTGGCCTTGTGGGAGTCCAGCACCTTAACCAACATACCACCTGCTGGCCCCCTTTTAAATTTTTTTTAAAGAATTATTTATTTCATTTTATTTCTTTTAACCATTATGTTTAATGAGGAGCCCCCTTCTTGGCTAGGCAGAGCCCATGGGGGCCACTGGAAAATAGGAAGGCGGCTCTCTCAGAGAAAGCAGCGCTCACTGAGTCACTGGGGAGGGTGGGCCCTCTGCACAGGCCAGCAAAGGCCCCGGGGAACCCTGAGGGATGGGGCAGCACTTGCTACTGACTGCCTGGTCCCAGGGACCCCAGGTTTCCTCCAATCACCTGTGTAGCGGTAGTCAGCGAGCGGGTGAGCCCGAGGCTTCCGGGGTCCTCCAAGTAAGAGGGTCTCCAAGGCCACCTAGAACAAAAGGAGGGAGCGATGGGGTTGAGGGGTGCTCCATCCTTTCACCCTTTGGAGAAGCACAGACAGCCAACCCGAAAGTCACTCCCTCCTCCGAGTGGTCGGTGCTCGGACAGCTCCCAGCCAGCGAGCTGTCCGCAGGCACGTGGCCCACACCACTGCCCGAGTCCTCGCAGCAGGGCTCTCTCGATGAGGCTCCGGTGTGCCGCTTTCTAGCATCATCTCCATGTTTTCATACATGGCTTTGTTTTTGTTTTTGAGAGGTTCTTGCTATAGGGTGTGTGTGCTTGCCAGAGAGACAAAGAGACAGAAAGTGAGAAATCACCCCCCAGGGGGGATGGCCACACCACAACCCCTTCTCCTCCAGTCTCCTCTTGGAATTTTGAGCACGTGCACAAACACACCCAGCATGAGTTTTAAGCCACCAGGTGTGGGACTTGAACCGCAGTCAACCATTTGGGAGCCCAGGAAGGTAAACATTATGCCACTTGCTGGTCCCCAGAGTCGGGCTCTAACACTGTCTAACCCTTGGAGTTGTGAGGAAGGGCTTCCTAGTAGCTAGAGGCACTGCCGTTGCATCAGAGGTTTGCATACACGGGTTTTTAAGGCTCCATCACCAGAGCAAATGAACGTAAGGCCTGAGCCCTCCCCAGGGCCCCGAGCTATGATGGAGGAGCCGCAGCGCTCCGGTGTTGCCTGGGTGAGTAACTGACTCCCGGAGCTCATATCTGAGCTGTCCCTACAGACAACTCGCCAGGACCACGCTAACCTCCACATTGGGAGAAGCTGCGCGGCCTCCATCAGCTGTGAAGCCCAGGTGGATGGCGCGAGGTGTGCACCTGAACCCCCCAGCCCCACCCGCCTCACCTGCACATCGCCCCGGGCGTCGTGCAGGCAGTGCAGTGCCAGCTCCAGGTTGGTGCCCCCGCCCGGCATCACGCTAGAGCACGCCACGTTGCAGAGTTCTGTCACTGGTTCCCAGCAAGCGGCGCCCACGGAGTGACAGGATGAGGAGGAGAAGGCACGAGGGAGTCAGCAGGTGCCCGAGAGGACACCTCCCCGACAGCACGGAGGGGCTTCTTTCCACCTTCTTTGCCTCTACATCTCGATCGAGGGTGGGCTGTGTGTGCGAAGTGGGGGTCCAGGGAGGAGCCGAAAGCCCGCCCTGGCACTGGCTCAGAATGGCCCGACCAGCCGATCCAGCGCGTGCCCGAGAAAGGCCCCGCCCAGCCGATGATGAGGTGAGGAGAGGTGGGGTGAGGTGAGGAGAGGTGGGGTGAGGTGAGGAGAGGTGGGGTGAGGTGAGGAGAGGTGGGGGGCAGCTCGGGACGGGCACTGCGGGGCTGAGGGCCTCCCCCACCCAGAGGCACTGCTTCAAGTCCTGAGAGCTCCACTGGGAGGAGAAACTCCTGGGAGATGAAGGGGAAGAGGGTCTCGGGGCTCGAGCCTCGGCCTCAGCCACCTCTGTCCTGCGTCTCTGGGTTGGTCATCACATCGCCCCACGGCTTCCAGACCAGAGAAGCGACATGCTCGTCAGTCCCAGCCAGTGACCTCTCCTGGAGCTCCGGGATCTCGGCCTGGAACCGGCTTCCGAGGTTGATGTGTCTGAAATGAGGCCACACACCAGAGAGGGACGTGGGACCCGTGAGCGTGACCGAGCTGGGAGATCTGAGACCGTGGACTCTGCTCCAGGGCCAGGCCGGCTCTGGGCACGCCCTCTGCCACTTCTCAGACACGCCGGGCACTTATCATCCCCGACCGATGTGACATGCGCGAGCACTTCAGAAACCCCCCAGGGACACTGCCTTCCTCCATTTTCGCCATCACCCTCTCCTTTTGGGGCCTGGGACAGGAGGGACACGCTGAGCCCAGCGTACTCTGTGCCCAAAGCCACATCTGCCCTGGGGTACGTAGGACTCGAGTACCACACTGTGCCGGCGTCGATGCCCTGGAAGCCCAGAGCTGGGCAGCCTGCTGCTGCTGCATGGCCAACTGTGCTCATCCGGGCAGGAGGACCACTGGGAACCTCCCATGGCTATCGGGAGAAATCCTCTGCTCCTCTCTTGGGGAGCCCCTTGCAGCTAGACCTGACTGCCCTGTGCAGGAGGAGCCTGGGAGGAAAACTGACAGGAACGGAGGGAGGTAAGGCTTCCTTACACAGAAGGGCCCTTGGGTTCTAGGGCTGTTCCAGCTTACGGTTCAATGCTGATCTTGGTGTCATCCTTCACCACGCAGATGTCAAAGGAGCCATCCACGTGACCTGGAAAACGCACAGCGAACAGCCTCAGGAAGACTGGCCCGACCTCAGGAAGTGACCCGCAGCGCCCTCTGGCCTGCCTTCACAGACACAACCAAAAGCCTCCTGAAGATGCCACGGGAGAGGGCGGGACTTCAGAAAAGGCAGAAGGAGGAGCTCGTCAAACAAATTAACTGGTAAAAATGGAATGTATATATAAAACCAGTAAGTTAGAGCCTCTGGAAATTGCCCTAAGGCCATACAACATTTGGAGAAATAGATATTCAAGAAAATCAACCGGGGCCGGCAGGTGGCGTGATGGATAAGGGTGCTGGACTCCCACATGGCCAACCACAGTTCGAGTCTTGGACCTGGTGGCTTGCTTTCTCACTTTCCCTCTTTCAGTCTCTATGTCTTTCTGGTGAAATTAAAAAAATAATAATAATAAAAAATAAAATGAATGAATAAATAAAATTAAATAAATAATTCTTTTAAAAATTAAAAAAAAGAAAATCAACTACCCCACAAAGATGTACAATAATTAAATGTGAATAAGAAATGATAAAATAAACACAACTTTATTTATGTTAAGTTTTTGCTATAGGGTACAGAGAGAGAGAGAGAGCGAGCACACCCCCACCTCAGGGGAGTACCCATGCACACTCCCTTCTCCTTTGCTCTCTTCTTGGGATTTTGCATACAGTGTGATTTTCAAGCTGCCGGGTCTGGGACTCAAATCACATAGCCAGCCTTGTAGGATCCAGCAACTTAACCTCCATGCCACCTGCTGGTCCCATAATAAACACAACTTTAAGAAGCAGACTAAATCTCGGGAACCAGCAGTTAGCGTAATGGCTATGTCGCTGGGCTCCCACGTGGTTGACTGCGGTTCGCGTCCCAAACCCGGTGGCTTAAAACTCACGCCAGGCATGTGTGCGTGCGTGTCCAAGATCCCGAGAGGAGAATGGAGGAGAAGGGACTGCGGCATGACCATCCCCTCTGGGGGGTGATTTCTCGCTCTCTGTCTCTATGTCTCTGTCTGGCGAGTACATGCATCCTATAGCGAAAACCTCTCAAAAAAAAAAAAATCTCTCAAAAGAAGCAGACTAAATCTTGATCAGAACAAGAGTCTGGCATTTGGGGCACGACCTGCTCCCGTACCCACTTGGTTCCCAGCTCTGTGTAACAGACCTCTACCCCAAGGGGTCCACTCCAAGTAGCCACAGCCGGGGGAAGCTTCCACTCTCCTCCATGCCCTCCCTCCCTGCTTAGTAACTAAGGAGAGGAGTGAGCCGTTGGGAAAGTCGTGGCACATTTCTGCATAGAAAATCATAGAAAACACGTTATGACTTTCCCGACAACCTAATATAATGACAACTTCTCATCAAAGAGAGAATATCACTAAAAGACAAACTTTTTAAAAAGAATGTTGATTTAATTTTATTATAATAATTTTTAATTTGCTATAGGCCATGTGCACTCACTAGAGAGAGACAAAGACAGAGAGAGAGAGGGAAAGTGAGAAAGCAAGTCACCAGGTCCAGAACTCAAATCATAGGCGGTCATGTGGGAGTCCAGCACCCCAACCACTATGCCACCTGCTGGCCCAGAGACAGAAAGGATCAACAGAAGAACCAAATGGAAATTCCGGGGTTAAAATGTACAGTAACCGTGGAGTCGGCGGGTGGGTGGTGGTTAAAGCACTGGACTCTCACGTGGCTGACCGCAGTTTGAATCCCAGATCTGGTAGCTTGCTTTCTCACTTTCCTTCTCTCTCTAGCTAAATTAAAATAATAATAATAATAAATAAAATTAAATAGTTATTTTTAAATGCACAATAACCAAACTGGGGTTCAATAAGTTTCAGTTGGCAAAATGAAATAATCAGCAAATTGGAAGACAGATCAACAGTGATCACAAAACCTGAAAAACAGAAAAAAATGAAAAGTGGAGCTAGCCTCAGAGAAATGTGGGACACTATTAAATGCAGCACCCACACTGCCTAATGGGAGTGGGACCGAGGAGGGGAGAGGAGAGAGAGCAAATGCATAAAGAACGGCTGGAAATCTTCTAAATTTAAAGAAAAACAATATCTACATCCACGAAGCTCTGTGAATGCCAAGTACAATCAACACAAAAAGATCAATAGCCATGCAAAATGTTGAAAGTCAGATAAAATCTCAAAGCAACGCCTCATTACATGTAACGGGACCCCAGTCAGATTGACGGATGACTTCTCGCTAGAAACACTGGTGCTCAGAAGACAGCGGAAAACATATCCAAAGTGCTGAAAATTTAAATCTGTTTTGTTTTTATTTAGAAGTTTTTGTTATAGGGCATGTGTGCTTGCCAGCGGGACAGAGAGAAAGTGAGAAATCACCCCTGAGGGGGCTGGCCACACCACAATCCCTTCTCCGTTCTCCTCTTGAGATTTTGGGCATGCATGCACAAGCGCCCGGCATGAGTTTCAAGCCACCACGTCTAGAACTCAAACTGCGGTTGACTGTGTGGGCATCCAGTTCCTTAACTACTGCACCACCAGTTGGCCCCATCAACCAAGACTTTCATACCCGACAAACTAATCCTGAAAAATGAAGGTGAAATAAATATAAAAATGGACAGTAAGCAATGGAAGGGTGCTCACCACCATTAGCCATCAGGGAAATGCAAAGCAAGACTACAATGAGATACTATTTTAAACCTCCTAGGATGGCTATAACAAAAAGACGGACAATAGCAAGTGTTGACAAGAATGTGGAGAAATCAGAGCTTTCATCTTCCGCTGGTGCGGATTTTAAATGATGCGCTGCCACCTGGCCAGCCTGCACGCCATGCTGGGCACATGTGAGAGCGACCAAGATTGAATGGGGTGGAGAGGGAGCGTGGTCTGACTAGAACCTGTGAAGGATGCTCATCTTTCTCTATCACGCTCACATGTGTGCTTTACTATGAATAAGGAAAAAAATTAAAATAAGTAGAATAAAACCAGCGTGGCTGTTTAACCGTACACAGTTCAACACAGAGTTACTGTATGACCCGGCATTTCTCTCCTAGGTATCTGCCTGAGAGAAATAAAAAATATGTGTCCACATACAAATTTGTGCACGAATGCTCACAGCAACATTACTCATAATAGCCAAAAAGTGGAAATAATCAAATGCCCATCACCCATTAAACACAGAAACACTACATGATTAGTCCACACTGAACTATTAACCAGCCATGAAAGGAATGAATCAAAGTGCTGACAGATGCTACAACATGATGAACCGTGACACATTAAACACGAAAAGTCACGGACTCTATCATTCCAATTATATGAAAAGTCCAGGGACCAGCAGTTAGCATAATGGCTATGTCTCTGGACTCCCATGTAGTCGACCGCGGTTCGTGTCCCGGACCCAGTGGCTTAAAACTCACGCTGGGCGCGTGTGCATGTGTGCCCAAGATCCCAAGAGGAGAGTGGAGGAGAAGGGATTTCAGCGTGGCCATCCCCCCTGGGGGGTGATTTCTCACTTTCTGTCTGTCTCTCTGTCAGTCTGGCGAACGCACATGCCCTATAGCAAAAACTCCCCCCCCCAAAAAAAAAAGTCCAGAACAGGTCAATCTATACAAGGACTGATAAGTGGTGGCAGCAGGGCTGGGAAGCGGGGTATGCACTGTGGGGATGTGGGGGAAGAGGAAGGCCACTGGCAGACAGGCTTCTAGGGATGCTGAAATGCTCTTAAATTAGACAATATAATAAGTGCATAGCCTTGTGAATATCTTAAAAAACACCGCACACTTTAAGCGGGTGACTGCATGGTACATGAATCATGTCTCAGTAAAGCTAATAAGAAAATCACACAGAAAGGCATGCAGGAAGGTGGTCCATCTAAGGGCCAGCAGGTGACATAATGTTTAAGGCGCTCAAATCCCACATGGCCGACTGTGGTTCAAGTCCCTGACCAGGTGGCTTGAAAATCACATCAGGCACATGTGTGTGTGTGCGTGCATGCCCAAAATCCCATGAAGAGGATGGAGGAAAAGGGATTACAGCGTGGCCATCCACCCTGGGGAGTGAGTTCTCACCTTCCTTCTCACTGTCTCTGTCTCTCTCTGGCAAGCCCTATGGCAAAAACCTTAAAAAGAAAAAAAAAAAAAAGAAGAAAGAAAGGTGGTCCATCTAAATGGCCTCTATGTTTTCTTTCTGGCTATCAAGTTTAAGCGGCTAGAAGGCTGTTGGTCCAGGTGGTCCTGGAGCACTTCTTGACACGGTAGGCCCTCTAACCAGACACAGGGCAGCCTGGAGAGAATCCTTGCGCTACAAAGGAGTGAGTGTGGCCCGGAGTCCTACCCAGGGAGTGCTCCGAGGGGGAATGCTCCAGCCTCACTCACCAAACGCAGAACCGACGAGCTGGTCGGGACTGGCCTGAGTGGACGTGGAACAGAGCGTGCTGAAGTACAGCCCCGAGCCCTCCCGGATGGGGCTGAGCATGGGAGGTGGCGTGTAGGGGGAGCACTGGAACAGGCCCTTCAGGAGGCGGTCCACCAGGAACACTGGAGACCGCAGGCAGCTCTGGTGGCACCCTCCGGCACCCGGCTCCCCAGACGTGGAGGGGGGAGGAGGGGCGGACACAGCCTTGGGCTGGGGGCGCTTCTTCCGCTTCCTGTGTTGGCTGTTCTCCCTGCCATCTCTCTCCTCCCCGTCTTTCTCTTGTCCCTAGAGAACAGAACCACGTGTGGTTACTCGAGGCCATCTCTACACCAGGCAGTCTCCAGGGTGGCGTGAGGGTAGGAAAAGGGGACTGGCTGTGGAGGCAGGATATGACATGCACACCCACTGTGCCACGCCCAGAGCCCCAGTCGCCACCTTGCGGCCACCGCTCAGCCTGAGCTGACCCCGAGGGCCCTGACTACATTCCAAGGCTGGAGGTTCTCAGGCACTCACTTCAGAGTTCTGCCTCGGAAAGTTCTGGAAATGTGTGAATGTGTGTGGGCAACTTCAGTTTTCAAAATGACTGTGACTTAGGACCAGCAGTTAGCGTAATGACTATGTTGCTGGACTCCCATGTAGTCGATCGTGGTTCGAGTCCCGGACCCAGTGGCTTAAACTCACACTGGGCGCATGTGCATGCGTGCCCAAGATCCCGAGAGGAGAATGGAGGAGAAGGGATTGCGGCGTGGCCATCCCCTCTGGGGGGTGATTTCTCACTTTCTATCTCTCTGTCTCTCTCTGTCTGGTGAGCGCAAGCGCCCTATAGCAAAAACCTCTACATTAAAAAAAAAAAAAAGACTGTCACTTAAAAGGTGAGGCCAGAGACATAGTGTGACAGTGTGACAAAATGGTAAAGTGCTCTGCTCAAATGACAGTGCTCCTGTGAGACCAAAGATGGGGCCTAGTCACTGACTCAGGACCTTGGGATGCATGTGTCCTGTCCCCAAGGCCAGCATGAGCCTCTCCGAGTGTGGGCGCCCAGTACAACCACCGAGCTGAGGCCAAGACCCACTGCTTACACTTTCAATGCTGTTTTTTGCCTCCACAAGATCTCCCCTCCTCTCTGCCAACTTTACATTCTCATCCTTAGTTCTGATACCTCTTGCTCCAGGAAGCCCTTCCTGATCCCTCAGGCTGGGTCAGGAACCCCTTCAGAGCTTCTCCAGCTTGCTCTGCTCCCCACAGTGGCCCTGCACTCTCCAGTCATCACTATGTGGGTAGAGGTCTCTCCCACTGGACTGGGAGCTCCTGGGGGCAGAACCCGGAGCAGAGGGGCTCAGTGACTCCTGCAGGACTGGATGAAGCTGCACATGAGTACAACTCCTCAGAGTCAGGATTCCTGTGCTGTTTGGTTAGGGTTTCCCATGGCTCCCACTGGTAGGTGGGAAATGTAGCAGGAAGGAGGCAGGCTGGGGAGCACCCACCTCAGCCAAACTCCCTGGGGGTCGGATTTCAGGAGCCATGGGGACTGACATGGGGGGAACCAAAGGGGCTGTGGCTGAGCTGTCCAAGGGCTTCTTGGCTCCTGGGGGACTCTGTCCGTCTCCCTCTGGCCTCAGCACCTGCCTCGGTGGCTTGCAAAACTCCATGCCAAACATCTAAGTGGAGGAGATGGCTCTTTGAGAGAAGCAGTGGCAGGCGCAAGAGCCACCCCGAGGACAGCTGAGACAGTGGCCAAGCTCCTGGGCAGTGAGGACGGGCAGAAGCGGGCCAGGCCTGGGGATAGCACGGCCCTTGCTGCCCCACTTGCTCCAGGATCAGGTCTGTACCCTGAGACAGGCGGCACCAGTCGACTTCTCCAGAGCCCGTCCCCTCACCTGCTGCTCCTGCTTGCCTCTAGGCGACGGCCACTGCTCGCTGTGAAAACACATGTGGCTGCTCAGCCCCTTCTCGGTGTAGAACATCTGGCTGCAGTTCTTGCACACGAAAGTGCCCCTGGGCTCTGGCCAGTCTGCGGGGCCCCCATTTTGCTGGTTACTGTGGGTGATACAGTGGGCAGGAAAGAATGTGACAAGACCCTGTCCCTCAGCAGTTTTTTTTTTTCTTTTTTAACTCCAATCCACTGACAATGCTAGATAAATCCTTAAAAAAACAGAAGTGCTACCCAAATCCTCCAGGGGCTACAAGCCTCCTCTTTGGAACTGAGAGCATCCAGCTTGCTTCCCCAAGGCCAGTGTAGAAAAACCCAACACTGTGGGAGCAAATGCACCAGGTGAGCCAAGAGGCTTCACTTACCATCCGCCTGCCACGTTCTCCTCCTTCGGATGGGGGAGCCTGTAGATGTTTCCACCCTGCAGAGCAAAGCACATCTGAGCCAGCGCATGGGAGATGAAGAGGCATGGAGGAGCTAGAACGAGAAGACTCAAGGGGAAAACATCGAATCACTCTTCGGGACCTCAGGTTAGGCCATGGTTTCTTAGCTATGATACCAAAGCAAAATGAAAGTCAGAGCAGACGAACTGGACTTCACTGAAATGAAAAACTTTTGTGGGGCCGGCAGGAGACATGGTGGTTAAGGGCGCTGGACCCCCACATGACCAACCATAGTTCGAGTCTCAGACCTGGCGACTTGCTTTCTCACTCCACCCCCACACTCTGTACCTCTCGGATCAAATTATATATATATATATATATATATATATATGGTTAAATAAAATAATTCTTTAAAAAAATGAAATGGAAAACTTTTGTTCTGTAGACGATACCATAAACAAAATGAAGGTGGTCCACAAAAGGAGAATATTTACCAACCCCGTGTCTGATAAGGGGCTTGCATGCTGATGTATAGGGAACTCTTCTAACTCAGTAATGAAAGACAGTAACCGGCTGGCTCCGCGGCCTGGTTAAGGCACTAGATCCTAATAGAATGTGATGTGGTTCCAGTCCCAGATCGCGCAGTTGATAAATACACCAAGAGTGTGTGTATTTGTGTGTGTGCCTAAAATCCTGAAAGGAGGGAGACATGGGGAAGGAGTTGCGACATGACCACTCCCCATGGGGGCTCTCTTCTCCTCTCTCTCTCTCTGCCTCTCTCTGCCAAGCCTGCGCACCCTCTAGCAAATGTGCACACACACAAGATAATAACTCAATTTTTTAAATGAGCAAAGGATCTAAACAGATGTCTCTTCTTAGAAGACAAAAGGGCCAAAAAGCACAAGGGCAGGTGCTCGACACCATAGCCAGCGAGGAAATGCAAATCGACACCACGGTAAAATACCACTTTCATCCACCAGAATGACGACCACGGAAAACAAAACAAAGCAAAAACAGACACTAACAAGTGTGAGCGAGGATGTGGGAACGACAGCCCTCACACACTGCAGATGGGAAGATCCAATGGGGCAGCTGCTTGCCAAACAGCCTGGCAGTTCCTCAAACACTAACTACAGAGCTGCATGGGACCCGCGGTGCCACTCCTCGGCACGACCCCAGGGCAGGGAGAACACGCACCCACACGAACACTGGGATGTCAGGGAATGCTTACAGTAACAACATTCACAGCAGCCGAAGAGTGGGGACCACCAAAATGTCCTACGGAGATCAAGTGTGGCCTACCCGCCCATGGTCTACCACTCAGCGGTAAGCAGCAGTGCGCACTGCCAGCTGCTTCCACGCGGACACACCCGACGTCACACAGTGAAAGGCTGCACACGCTGTGCGATTCCACTTACGCCAGACATCCGGAATAGGCGAGTCCATGGTGACAGAAGATAGAACCATGGTTGCCAGGGGCTGGAGGAATGGGGAAGCTGGGGGTGTCAACTAAGGAATATGCGGCTTTTGGGGGTTGATGATGAAACTATCTGACATACAGTCATGATGGCTGCAGTACGACCATGGCAATATACTAAAAACCACTAAATTGGGCGCCGTGAAAGGGTAAATTATACGGCATTCTAATAGTAAAAGCTGGTTAAGGGGGAAAGAGGGGTAGGTGAGATCTGATGGGAAGGATGCTGGGCCTGGCGTCACGGGCCGTGGCCAGCCTGCTCAGATGGGCCACGTGGGCTCGACGTGTGCAGGCCTGGCTGGTGTTAGCTCGCTGGACGGCGTGGGGCCCGCAGCAGTGGATCCACTTGGACTTGTGGAGACCATAATTCGTGGTCAGAAAGTATGTGGCCGCTTTGTGCACGAATATTTAAGGGAGAATCTCCACCTTTACATCCTCTGAAGAATTTAAGGGGACAAGTTCAAAGGAAAATAAGAAGCAAAAATGAGCAATGTGGTAACGAAAGGACAGAGAGCTTTAGACAACTCTGGGCCATCCAGGCCTCCGTGTGTGTGGTGAGGGGAACCACCATCTCGCTGACCTTCATTTCCTCCTGCAAAACCGCACCTAAGGATTCCCGGAGATCGAAGAGAGCTGCCTGACACCTAAGGCTAAAGCAAACCCCAGTGAAACTCCCGTCTTCCTGTGCTCCACCGCCCCGGTACCTGGATCCTGTTGAATATTGTCAGCTTGGACTTCGAGTCCCGGGGGGCGTCGGCTGGCGGCCCGGCGGATGAGAAGGAGGCCATGGCTACTTGGCTGGGCGACGCCGCGCAGCACAAGTCCATCTTCACCTTCTCTTTCCGGAAGCCTGAGAACCGCTGGGCCCTGGAGCTGCCCGAGAAGAGCCTGTAGCCTGCACCCCGGGAGCAGGCTAGGCTCTTTTCACCTTTTGTGGCCCCAGAAGTTGAGCCATTTTCGGACTGGGCCTGCTTCCCGGACAGCTGGGCTCCTGGCGCCAGCTCATTGCCCCCCAGCTGCCGAGAGCCTGCAGTAGGGAATATGTCCCCCAGGTCCAAGGTCCCTTTCGATGATCGCAACTGCTTGGCCAGGGAAGAGAGGTCTGAGTTCCCGGGAGGGTCCAGGGCTGCCGCTGGGAGGGGAGGCAGAGCAGTGGCCGCTTTTGGACCTCCCTTTGAGTCTCGCTTCGTGCTGCCTGGGGACGTCTCTCTGGGAGCCACTGGCAGGTTTTTCCTCCTGCGGGCTGGGGATCCCTCTGGCCCCAGGTTTCCAGGGCCGGTATGAAGAGAGTCAGCAGCGGACGCCGGTGGTGGGGGCTGCAGCGGCCATGGCCCCTGCGGTGGCTTCACAGCAGCCTGCTTGCCCTCGGGCCCCGGGAGCTGGGAGGAGGCTGCCGCCACCTGGGCGTGGGAGAAGATCCTTTGGGACTTGGTGATCATCTGGAACACCTGCATCTGCTCGTGGCTCACCAGAGACTCCTGCGACTTCAGGAACAGCTGCCGGAAAAGTGGTGTGGCATCTGGCTGGAACCCTCCCTGTTTCTGGGCGTCCTGCAGGCCAGGCTCCCCGGGGCTTTGCCACGAGTACGAATCGCAGTCCAACCTACTCTTCTTGGAAGCCCAGGAGTCGTCCTCCCCACTGATGTATCTGGGGTCGCTGGAGACCTCCCCGGGCGCCTTTGGGAGCGTGGGGGGGAAGGGTAGCATGTCCTCCAGGCTGACCCCTGAGCCAGACGAGGGCTCCACTGCCAGGCAGGTGCTGCTGGACCCAGGCCCAGACTCGGAGCCCTCGCGGGCGGGCACCACGGAAGGCTTGTGGACCACGAACACGTTGTTGCCTTTGCTCTTGGGGCAGCCCGGCAGGTTCCGGAGCCACTGGAAATTGTGGCCCGATGGCTGGGAACTGGCAGGGACCGTCTGGCCTCGCAGGAAAGGCAGGCAGGCAGGCAGGGAGCTGCCCTCGGGCCAGCCCTCCAGGGTGGATGGGAGCTGGAGCAGCGGGGGCCCTGACTCTGGTGGGTCAGGGGCACTGTTCTCGCTCACCCTGGGATGGACGGCTGTGAACACGTCAGCAGCTGGCTCCTTCTGTGTGGGAGGCAGCTCCTCAGGGACCTCAGTGCCCAGGGGTCCTGGGGCCACTGGGGTGCCGGCCGGGGTGCAGGAGGCCCCTGACGAGGGAAGGCAGGGACAGGCCATACTCTTCCCTTCACTGTCTGAAGGCCCGGTTGGGGCAGGGCCTGGAGAAGGGAGCTTCTGGTGGACGATGCTGCTCACGATGCAGCGCAGGAGGTCTCGGTTGGGCAGGAGGGAGCCAGGGGACCTAGCTTCCGGGGATACCAGGGACCGCAGGCTGCTGGCAGATGGCTGGCTGGCCGGCTCAGGGGCCTGGGGCGAGTCCCCACAGGCTTCCTCTTCTGGGGGGGCCTCCTTCAGGACGCACAGGCCGTGCTGGACCTCGTAGTGGCGGCGCAGGGAGCGGTAGTCGCAGTAGCTCTTGCTGCAGCCCTGCTCGATGCACACGAAGGGCTTGGTCTTCTGGTGGGTGAGCATGTGCCCGGTCCTGCACAGACACAACGGGGAGCCCCAGGCGCCTCGCAGCAGCCGAGGGTCAGCAGGCACCTGCACCGCACCCAGCTCCACGGGGAGCGCCCCCCCCACAGCCCCTACTCTGCCTAAGAACCTGGAAGGGCCGTGGTCCTCTCTCACACCTCTAAGCAAATCTCTCATCTGGGGGGAAAAAGGCCACTGAAGCCAAATCCGCCTTCCCCAAAGTGGGTTCGCCAGTCCTCCGGAGTTGGTCCCTGAGGACGTGGGCACAGGTGACAAACATTTGAAAAACACTATTGGCTCCGTAAAGGTTCACATGGCATAGCAGCCAATGTAAGAGCCACAGAGAGACAGACCTAGTTCACTTTCCATGGCTCTCTCTTTCCTTTTTTCCTTTCAAATAGCCCCTATCAGCATCCTGAGAACCAGAGTTCTACAGAATACACTTGAGGAGAGGCTAACTTGGGGATTATCCCTCCCTCAAGAAAGGAGTCTAAGCTTTACCATAGGTCTCCTCTCCAGAGAGGGCTCCCTGGGACCTCACCCACAGAGCAAAAACACCAATTTACAGATCCCTAATTAATAAAACTTTTGTGCCTAGGGTTTCTGTAAACATAAATGCATGTAAATACATTGCATCACTGACATATTAGAAATATTAACAAATGAGGGGGCCAGCAGGTGGCGAGGTGGTTAAGGGTGCTGGACTCCCACTTGGACAACTGCGGTTCGAGTCCTAGACCTGGTGGCTTGCTTTCTCACTTTCTCTCACTCTCTTGCTCTGTCCCTCTCTTGTCAAAATAAAATAAATAAAGTTAAATAAAATAATTTTTAAAAAGAAATATTAATGAATGAGCAAATATCTCTCCAAATTCCCATACCAGTACATGGGGCATATGGGGTGTGTCTAATCAACAGCAAAACCTTTTCCCCAAAGGCTGACCCCTGGCCTCCATCAGAAGGGAGCAGCAGAGAAGGAACCAGGAGGCCTAAGTTTAGCCCCTGCCCTGCACATGGGCCCTGGGTGGGGGCGGGCGAGGGTGGAATGAAGGATGAGTGACTCAAACCTCTCTGTGGAAGCGGGAAATGCTACACAAAATGCAAGGTCTTGTCCCCTTCCACATGGAAGGCTCTTGGTTTGAAAAAAGTTTGTTTCATTTTCTCACAGGTAAGAAAAGGGAGTTTTGCTCCTAATTCTTAAATTGGGCTTTCTTTTTAAAATCAAGAGTTTTAAAAAACAACAGGAGTGGGCCCAGCAGGGGGCACAGTAGTTTAAGGTGGCTACCTACGTGGCCAGCTGGTGGTTCAAGTCCCAGACCAGACGGCTTGAGAAACAGGCTGGGTGCATACGTGTGTGCCTGAACTCCCAAGAGGGAGATGGAGGAGAAGGGGTTGCACTGTTTGTGGGGGGGCTTCTCACTTTCCCTCTCTTTATTTCTCTGTCTCCAGCAAGTGCATATGCCTCAAAGCAAAACACATACACACACACACACACACACACACACACACGGACTCTGAAAAAGTACGAATGCTCCATGTTCTAGAAACAGGTGTCTGGCCATCTCTCATGCTCTGTGCTACCCACCCCCCATACACACACACTCCTGTGGAACATGGCCTCTTTTCCTCGGACACCTGCCGGGGATGCAGAGCTTTGCCTATAGCAAGACAGAAACAGTATGAGGAGATGACCTTGGAGTGATCCTTTATGCAGTTTTAAATGACAAAGGCCTCATCTGCAAATGGAAGCAATGTTTCCTCACTGGTATGAGCCGGGAGTCAGGGCAGAGCACCCTGTCCAGGCCAAACCTGTGCTCAAACACCGGCTGTGTGAGAACGGAGCTGGCATCTGAGCATAGGTCCACGCGCCTGGAAACGGGGAGGTGGGAAGGCCCAACCGAGGACGGGACAGGTCGACCCCGGAGAACGGAAAAAGACCTAGGAACACGCCCACTCGCACCAGCCCCTGGATGGCCAGTGTCCTGACCAGACCCCACGTACAGATGATCCTGGCGCTTAAAGGCCTTGCTGCAGATCTTGCAGACGTGCTTCCTCTCCTGGCTGTGTGTCAGGTAGTGCTTGCTAAGAGAACTGGCGCTGCTGAACACCTTCCCACAGAGGCTGCAGTCCAGAAGTGGGTTCTGAGGGGAACCGTGCTGCCGCTTGCCTTTCCGGGCACTTCCTGAGGTGGCTCTGCCTCCTTCGTCAGCCTCTTTGGGCACCTTCAGTGCACCCAGCCCCAGGTCTAAACAGAGGGAGAAAGCACAGGTTACGTACAGCAGGGAAAGCAGAGCGCAGGGCAGCCTACAGCTCTCAGAACCAACAAGCTTCCTCCACGCCAAAAAACACAGTGCAGGGGTGGATGAGGCGAGCAAGCACCCTGGTAGGACCACAACCGCAGGAGGGCGCCTGGATGGGCAGCCGGAAGCACAGCCAGGCCAGGACGGACAGGGCTTTCCACGCCACCGCCTGCTATTCTGCTTGGAAGGGCAATCCGGAAAGTGGTATCATCAAACCTTGGAAAGAATCAATCCTGGCACTCGCCCGGCCAGTTCCTCATTGGGGTTTTAACTTAAGGAAACAGATACAGCTCCGCAGAGAGCAGACCCTCAGGGAGTTAACAGTGCCGCTGCTTTTAACGGCGAGATGGAGAACCAACCTAATACCTGACAGAAGAACGAGCAGATGACCGCAGCGTGGCTTCCATGGCCTGTCACATGGCATTTAAAATAAAACTCTAGAAAAACATCTGGTGACATGAAAGGATTTTCATGCCACACTACTGAAAACAAAGCAGCCTATTACAAAACAGAATTATCCCAGTTGTTAGAAAAGAAAAATACATTTGAGCAGAAAACAGACTGGGAGAACGGGGCTGATAATGGATTAGGTTTATTTTCCTCTTTTTGCATATCCGAATTTTGCACGTTTCCCGTATCTCTTGGGTAAAATAATGGCTGGCATTTTTAGGAATCAAGTCACCTGTGCAACAGCTGAAGAACTGGGAATTCTCAAGTGGGAAGGGAAGACGTCTTCAAATAGCTCAAGGGCCAGTGTGCGCAGAAGGGAGCAATGGTGTCTGCCTTGCTCCGAGGGCAGATACAGCGGGAGTGGAGAACAGAGCATAGAGAAGTTGCTTCGAGACCCTAGAAGCCCAGGCCTGCAGCTATGAGGGCTTGTCTAGCTCACAAAATAGGTTTCGCTTTAGGACACAGCCACTCACCAGAGGGGGGGGTGTGAGAAATCTCCCACCAAGGGGGTAGCCACACTGTAATCCCTTCTCCATTTTCCTCCCAGGATCTTGGGCCCATATGCACGCATGCCCAGTGTGAGTTTCCAGCCACCAAGTCCGGGACTTGAACTGCCCGCGTGGGAGTCCAGTGACGTAACAGCTATGCCATCTGCTAACCCCAATATCACCTCTGTCATATGTCTGAGGGACTTCAAGCATGTACTTAAAGATTTATATGTGGGAGCCAGGGTTGTGATTTTTCATACTGTTCTTATTTTCTAAGTTTTCTTCAATAAATGTGAATTACTTTTCTAACTTAAAAAAATAATGAGTGTATGCACTTATAGGGGCCTGATTTTAAGCTAGAGAAGTGTAAAGAGTTGAAATGTAATGTTTACTGGATTGATTTTTCTTATAAAGTTAAAAAAATCAAGTTTAAAACAAATTAGGAAGGCACCAGCAGGTGACATGGTGGTTAAGGCACTGGACTCCCACATGGCTTATCACAGTTCAAGTCCTAGACCTGGCAGCTTGCTTTCTCACTTTCTTTCTCTCTCTCTGTCTGGTGAGCACATGTGCCTTGTAGTAAAATTTTAAAATGATGTTAAAATAAAAAGTAAATAATTAAAAAACAAAAACAAATTGGGCTAGCAGAAGGCATGGTGGTTAAGGGCACTGGACACTCCCACATGGCAGACCAAGATTGGAGTCCTGGACTTGATGGCTTGCTTTCTCACTTTCTCTCTCTCTCTCTCTGTCCCTTTCTGGTCAAATAAGAACGAAAGGAAGGAAGGAAGGAAGGGAGGGAGGGAGGGAAGGAGGGAGGGAGGGTAAAAGAAAGAAAAAAAGAAAGAAAAATAAAATAATTCTTTTTTAAAAATTAGGAAAAGTTGAACTAGGTTAATTATTTGTAATATGGGGGGGAGGTGTGCATAAACCCCTATGAAAATTTGAGAAAAGCTACAGTTTCACTGCCTAGCAAAATGCATACCTAGTCAGACTGCCAGCATTGCCCAGGTAATTTTCTGGGTGAGACCCCTAATTGCTATGTCCGGGGTCTGGCCTGGTGCCTGTGACACTGCAGATGTCCTGTATGATGTCTTGTGATTCTAGGGTTTCACATGTGGCTGTCGTTCCCACACAGACGTATGGCATACACCTTGTCACGGCAGCTTGTGTGTATGGGGGGGGGCGGAGGAACCTGCCACTGTACCACGTGCTTCAGCATATTTTGGAGCTTCTTACCCCAACTAAGGTTTACCCTGCTGTGCAGGACCGCGTTGGAGCTGGAGGCCCTGCACGTGATGGTGCGGTAAGTGTCCGAAGCTCTAGTGCATCATCCCACCTAAACAACTTACCCAGGAACCCAGGAAGAGGGTTAAAACAAAAAACGGAAGTATCTTCTGGAACAAGGCTCACGGAAAACCAAAAGGAGATTTAACCAAGTCACTTAATGACTTCACTAGCTCTCTCTTTACTCCTTTGCTGCTGAACAGAAAGACTTAGAACTGAATCAAGGGCTTGTCTAAAATTAGATGTAACAATGTTAGGAAAAAAAAAAGCTATCATGTATCCAGTGCTTTATAGTCTGTCAAGTGCTTCTACAATTGTTTCTTCTTTTGCTTCTTACTGCTGTCTTCTGAGGGGGAGCACAGGGATGTTATCCCCCCACACACACTTTACAGATGGTGACACTGAGGCCCAGAAGGTCAGACAAGCAGGGAGCAGCATGAACAGGACCCCAGTTTATTCCAGAAGGGTGGCAAAAACCTCTGAGACGCAGTAATGGACAGGCACATTCCTGTAAATGCTAAGGCTGGCCTAACACTGGGACGAACTGACATCATTCCCTAGGGTAATGTTTCATTTCCTTTACTAGGAAGTGCAGAATAACTTCACATTTGGAAAGGAAATCGCCTGTTCCCTAAGTCACCTGTGTGCAGCAATCCCTGCTGCTGCAGGAACTGTCAGCATCCCGCCAGGCCCCTACCCAGGTCGATAGTCTCTCACCTGGTAAGGAAGTCTGAGATTCTGGATCTGCATACTCTTCCAGCAGCTTCACGGAATCACTGTCCTTCCCTGAGTACAGGGACAGGGTGTCTAGGTTGTCCTCCAGTGCCTCGCTGGGTGCGTCGGGCGTTGGGAGACTGGGGTCCAGGTCTAAACCACTCAGGCCAGCATAGAGCAGGTCCCGCGTGTGGGGCCCCAACTCTCGGTTGAGGGTGTCACTGCAGTTGAGGCCTTGGCTCTCTGAAAACGAAGGGAGGTGCATTTCTGATGGAAGGGTGCCCTCGTCCCCAAGGCTGTACTGGTCCATGGCTCTCCAGTACCAGGTTTCGGCCAAGAGCTACCCTCCAGGCCAGCAAGGCCAGGTAAGGAGTCAAGGAGGAGCGAGTCCTTGACAGCGGCTAATTCCTGAAAATGAACAAGGAGGAATCAAAATTAGGAGATGGCAATACAGCATGGTGTAGACTTAGGATTCAAACAAACCTGAGCTCGGGCCTGTTCTCTGCCAAGTAACAGCCATGGGACTTGAGTAAGGCCCTTGTAAGCCCCGGTTTTCTCATTTGTAAATAGGGCATAAAAGTACCTCTGTCATCAGGTTGTTTAAAGAATAACATTTCCATGACCAGCAGATGGTATAAGAGTTACATTGCTGGATTCCCATACGGTCAACCACAGTTAGAGTCCCAGACCTGGCAGCTTGAAACTCACGCCAGGTGCATGTGTGTGCATGCCCAAAACCTCAAGAAGAGAATGGAGAAGGGATTGTGGTGTGGCTATTCCCCCGGGGGATAATTTCTCGCTGACTATCTCTCTGTTGAGTGCATGGACTCTATAGCAAAATCTCTCTTAAAAACCTCACTGGAGGAGCCAGCGGGTGGCAAGGTGGTTAAGGTGTTGAACATCCACAGGGCCAACCATGGTTCGAGTCCCAGACCTAGCCATTTGCTATCTCACTTTCTTTCTGTCTCTCTCTGACCAAATTAAAAAATAATGATATGGCGGGAACCAGCAGTTAGTGTAATGGCTATGTTGCTGGACTCCCACGTAGTCGACTGCAGTTCGTGTCCCCGACTCAGTGGCTTAAAACTCATGCCGGGCACGTGTGCATGCGTGCTCAAGATCCCGAGAGGAGAATAGAGGAGAAAGGATTGCGGCATGGCCATCCCCCCTGGGGGGTGATTTCTTGCTTTCTGTCTCTCTGTCTCTCTCTGTCTGTCTGGCGAGCGCACGCACCCTATAACAACAACAAAAAAAAAATTTTAATTTAGAAAGAAAGAAATCTACTAAATAAACAGTTCCAACCTATAGAATGGTACCAAAAACGTTGGGAATTTGCAGGTGGGGAGAATCAGATTCCCAGAGTTACCAGGTCATAATATTCAAAACGTCCAGGTTTTCAACAAAAATTACGAGGCATGCAAACAAAAGCGATGGCTCATCATATGAGTAGAATCATGTGACATGTGACCTTTCACATCTGGCTTCTTTAACTAAGGTCTTCAAGGTTCACTCACATCATAAGACGTGTCACCTCCATTCCTCTCTCGGCTGAGTAACATTCCATTGTCTGGCCTCACCATGTTTTGTTTACCCAGTCACCTACTGATGGACATTTTGGTTGATTCATTTTTTGGCCATTATGAGCACTTTTGCTCACACAGAGATGTTGAATAAATGCTTGATGACTGATAACAAAAGTTCTGAATCTTGAGATAATTAGAGTTGGGCCTAGATTTCTTTTTTCTTTTTCTTTTTCTTTTTTTTTAAAGAGTTATTAATTAGGACCAGCAGATGGTGTAATGGTTCTATCACTGGACTCCCATATCGCTGACCATGGTCTGAGTCCAGGACTCAGCAGCTTGAAGTTCATGCCAGACATGTGTGCGTGGGTGCCCGAAATCCTGAGAGGAAAACGGAGGAGAAGGGACTGTGGCGTGGCCGTGGCCCCGGGGGGTGACTTCCCACTTTCTGTCTCATTGTCTCTCTGTGTATCTTCAGCGAGCACATGCACCCTACCGTAAAAATCTCTCAAAAACAATGATTTATTCCATTTTATTTGTTTTTATTATTTCTATGTTGACCAGAGACAGAGAGAGAAAGGGAAAGTGAGAAAGCAAGCCGCCAGGTCTGGGACTTGACCTGTCGGCCAAGCAGGAGTCCAGTATCTCAATCACCACATCACCTGCCGGCCTGGGCCTAGACTTCTTTCCTTTCTTTTTTTTTTTTTGCATTATTTTATTTAACTTTATGTATGTATGTATGTATGTTTGACCAGAGAAGAACAGAGTAAGAAAGAGAGGGAGAGAGAGGGAAAATGAGGAAGCAAGCTGCCAGATCTGGGACTCAAACTGAGGTCAGCCAGATGGGAGTCCAGTGCCCTTAACCACCACGACACCTGCTGGCCCCTTCTTCCCTTTTTTTTTAAGGTTTTTGCTATAGGGCACTTATACTTGTCAGAGAGAAACAGAGAGGGAAAGTAGAAATCACCCCTTTGGGGGAATGGCTACATCACAATCGCTTCTCCATTTCCTCCTAAGACTTCTGGTTTGCGTGCACATGAGCATGGCATGTGTTTCAAGCTGCCAGGGCCGGGACTCCAATCGTAGTCTACCATGTGGGAATCCAGTGCCTTACCCACCACACCCCCTGCTGGCCCCCAGCCTAGATTCCAGGCCATCAGTTTCCACTTTCTTGGAAGCTTCATGTAGATAGATAGTAGAACGGTTACACCTGCCATGTCTCACGTGTGCATCTACCTATGCGTCTGCGTGCGGCGTCTACCAAGAGAGCAAAAATTACAAGCGAAACACGAGTCTGTCATCCTATGTACACATAACTCTGGAAACCAAGAGAGTTTTAAAATTCAGAATTTCGAAGTTTAAAAAGGACAATCACAGACCAGTGGTAAAACATGATACTCCAGGGGTCCAGCAGGTGACGGGGTGGTTAAGGTGCTGGATTCCAACATGACAAATGGAGGTTCAAGTCCCGAACCTTGCAGCTTGAAAAATCACACTGGACCTGTGTGCATGCATGGCCAAAAACCCGAGAGGAGAGAAGACTGCAGTGTAGCCATCTCTCTGGAGGAGGTGGTTTCTCACCTTCCCTTTCTGTGTCTCTCTCCAGCAAGTGCATGCACCCTATGGCAAAAAACAACAACAACAACAACAAACAACAACAACAAAACCAAAACCCTGATACTCCACAAAGCAATCCCACATAGGAAAGTTCCCACGTCAAGTCCTGAGTATGCCAGGCACACACCTGCCTGTGACGTGGGGTTGACAAAAGCCAGGAGGTGGACTGCAGCGTCCAGGCCCTTTTGGGTGTGCTCTTTCTTTCTCTTTCTTATTTCTCACTTATATAAAGAATAAACAAACTTAACCAAAAAAAACCATAAATCATTACCTTCACTATAGTTTTAGTAATCCCCAGTGGGTTCCCGGGCAGCACCTGGTAACCAAAGCATGATTTCTGCATCAAGACCCATGACTACTGAGGGTAAATGAAGTAAAGACAGTAAAGAATATGTGAGTTCGGGTTTGGCCACCAAATGAGATTTGAGATGCTTCAAGATTCTCAGAGCTGCTGGAGTTTCCAAAAAGCGGAGAAGGCAGTAGAAATCTGCAGGCAAAATGGATTTCTCCACCAACTCCCAGGTTTCTTCGCTGCTATAAACTGTCCTCCGCACTCCAGGGAGGAAAGAACCTACTGCCTCCGTCAGCTCCCGGTAATAAAAACAAGTTAATGAACATCGCATTCACGGCCCAGCCGCGGTGTTCAACTGTGTGACCCTGGAGCCACGTGGGAGGCCCAGGCTCAGAACCCGGGTAGACCCGAACACGCTGGGCACACCCCTATGTGCCTGTGATCCTGGCTGGCCGGGCCCTGTGGAAAGGAGTGTGGTGTGGTAAGACACCATCGAAAAAAATACAGAAAACCAAGTGTTTATTATTTTTTAAAAAAGCATACTTATAAAGCATTTTCTCCATGTGAGGTACCACACCAAGCTCTTTACGTGCATAAACTCCCTCGTCCTGGCAGGCTGGGGGCAGGTTCTGTTATTACTTCCGTTTTATGGACAAGGAACGTGAGACCAAGTAATCTGTCCAAGGTCACTTACCTAGTAGGTAGTGGAGCCGGGACTCAGCCCTTGGTATTTTGACTTTCAGCCTTGTGTTCTTACCCATTACACAATACTGAGTCCCTGCAAACTGAACTGTACGCAGCACTGCTCCAATTAAACTAGAAAACACTGGCCAGCCGGTGGTGTGGTGGTTAAGGCAGCTGGATCGCATATGGCTGACTGCGTGGCTTGAGTTCTGGAACGGACAACTTGAAAAATGCCACATATGTGTGCCCAAAATCCTGAAAGGAGGGAGAACCGGAAGAAAAAGGATAGCAGCGTGACCATCCCCCAGGAGGGGTCCTTTTTCATTCTCTCTCTCTGTGCTCCCACTGTCAGATGTGCACATGCTCTCTGGCAATTTTTTTTTAAAACAAAAGAAAGAAAGAAAGGGAAAAGAAAACACAAAGGGGCTGTAGGGGGTGGAGAGACGAACTGCGTCTGGATCCCCCAAATACCAAATCGCCTGCTTCCCAACACACTCCCAGGGTCCACAGAACAAACTGCTCTGGTTACAACCTTGGGCAGGCAAGCCAGAAGTCCAAAGGCCATGCTTCGGTAGTTTCATCTTTGTCTAGCTAGTAAGGTAGAAGCCCTACCAGCTTCTAGGGCAGAAGCTGATATTGAACTTGTTCTGTCCACAAATCAATTCCATGCGAGAAGAGTTTTAGTACCCTCTGTGTAAGGAAACCCCTGCTAGTCTGTGTGGGACAAGGTTTGTGGTCCCTTCCAACCTGGAGACATTCCCAAAGGCTCCAAATATTATTTCCAAGAATTTTATAATTTTGTGTTTTTATTTAGGAATGATTAAAGAAAAACCAGTATATTTAGGTCACTGAATGATGACCTGATAACTGAATCCTATCCACCTGGCTCGATGCCTGGGTGTGTTTATGATTGCACTCATGCCAAAAAGGCCTACTTTGACCCAGGATGATGAGAAGGGGCGAGATACAAATTTAGCTTACAATAAAGCTCTGGGCTCAACTGGAGGCCCGCCAACATCATGGTACAAACACAGGTTGTGTTGGAGTTCAAACTGAGAAAGGGGGCAGGGGGGTATCCAGACAGTTCAGGCCTTGCTACACCCACAAAGGCCCAATGTGGTGGTCAGCAAAGTGACTGCGTCAAGGAGCAGTTAATTTTCAGGGAATAGTATCCCACTCATTAAATGCATGTTTGTAATTTGAATTATATTGGTTTGGTTGCTTTGCTTGTATTTAATTTGCAAATTGAGTTTGACTTTATATCCACATAAGAGCTATAAGCTTTAGGAACTTAA